TTTATCCTGGCATCGAGTATATACTGTATAGTGACACGTCCTCGCCACTTGGCTTGGTCTCCCCACTTCCCAAAGCATAGCAGCTCTTAGAGCTCTTTGTTAACACATATGGCACGCTAATGTTGCTCTATGTGGCTCTATTCTGTATCACAACAGGTCACTGCTAAAATGAAAAGTTATTTCAGGTATAGGTCCTGTTTGGTAGGGCTTATTTCTAACTTATTTCAGTTTTTAACTTAATTTATGTTATTTTAATGTGTTTGGTTCAGCTTAACAGTACAGCTTATAGCTTTTTGTAAGTCAAAAATCAACTTATTCTTTGAGTGGGGGAGAAGAAACTTAATTTATAAGTCAAAAACCAGGTTATGTTCACAGCTATAAGTCATAAGCTGTTAGGGTATAAGTTATAATCATTTTCCCACAGTTCTACTAAACGGGGCCATATTCCACTCAGAAACTGAGTGAGAGAATCAGAATGAGGAGAGTAGAGAGATAATAACTAAGATTTTTTTTAATCTTTATTTTTATTTTTACGATTAAACACAAAAGTATGAGTTTTACATGAGTTTATTAACGTGAATTTTATTATTAATGTGCTTAAATATATTATTATTATTATTATTATTATTATTATTATTATTATTATTATTATTATAACTATTGCAAATAAAAGTTATAATGATTATATAAATTGGGATAGAAAAGGAGAGAAAATATATAGAGACTTATGACTGTTTTGATCGAGGATATAATATAAGTAATAAAATTTTATTTCTTTCTGACAGCTTATTCCTTTAGTTGAATGGGTAGTTGACAATTCAACATACTATCTCGTGTTATAAGGTAGCTTAATGTTTTGGTGATAACCAATTCAAAAGTTATCTCACGATTATCCATCCATTCATAGAATGAGAAAATGAACAGTCCAATGCAGGACTTGTATTGTAGACCCACTGGAAGGCCTATTTTTTTTTAGGAGTTATTTTGTTTAATTTTTAAGTCAGTGTATAAGATAAAATAAAAAAATTAATTAAATAATTATGCTTATATGATTTGATCATATGGTAGCATTGTTGAAAATTAATGCAATATATGTAGGATTTTGATTATTGAAGCAAGCATATAATGTTGTTAATATATAATACTCAGTTACTCAGTTTGACATGAATGAATATTTGGTTTGGAGGAGGATGCAGGGAAGGAAGTGGTGGCATATATGGGGCCGCTGCCACCGGTGGGGATACACCAGTACATCCTAGTACTTTTCCAACAAAAGGTAGGTTTTTAGGGACAAGTAGAGCAACCCATGCCCAGGGCTAACTTCAATACCCGCGCTTTCGCTCATCACCTTTACTTGGGTATGCCTGTTGCCACCGTCTATTTCAACGCCCACAAGGAACCCGCAAATCGTAGGCGTTCAAATTAATTTAATTGTAGTAGTAGGAGAGTTCTCTATGGTTTAATTTAACTGTATAGTACTTGTTTTTTTAATTTAAGGACTGTTTTGGGTAGAGTGTGTTAAGACTCCAACACCCTTCACTGTTGCTTTTAATTTTCATGATTTTGGGGCTTTGGTAGGTTTATATATAGTCCAGTAGCTCTAAATAAAACTTGGTTTTTATATATATTTAAACTTGGTTTTGGGTCTCCTTAAAAAAAGAAAAAAAGAAAAAAATGAAAAAAGAAAAGCTTTTTCTATGAATTTGGCTGTTAGTCTGTGCGATCATTATAATCAGTACATCATGAGTCTCCTCCACTGGCTTTGTGCGTCTTTAATAAGTTCATTCATATATGTAAAAGTCATCCTATGGAAAACTGATGTCAAAATGACTTTTGAAGGGAACAGTAGTGCAAATTTGATTGCAGCAGAAGAACTTTAAGACATCAGAAACCAGTATATATGTTGTTAGACAAAATGAGTCCACCTAAACCTTAGTGACAACTACTACCAACTCTTATTGAATGGTAGATACACTGCTATATATGCTCCCTCCCTACACACCCTCCTCTTCCACTATCCATCCTCTCTCTCTCTCTAGGTGTCTTCATGGTTTTAAGTACAAAATATTTGGAAAATCTCAATGATATGGAATTAGTCGATTTTTGATTTGTTAAACACTTAAATATATAAACCCAACTTCCTTATCAAATCATTGTAAATGAATTTGTCATTTCTTTTTAAATAAAGGTATTGAGATATATATCAATATCTACGATCGAATATCAAATAATATCAGCTAAATATATTGACGAATATCAGTATTAGAAGTGCAATTGAACATTTAATGATGAATTATTATCCTTTTGAGATTAAATTTTTATCTAAAAATATAAAATTTTTGACACCAAACTATTTTGTCATGTATTAGCGACATTTTTAAAATTTTGTTACTAAAGTCTTTATTTTTTTAACTTTTTAGAACAATTTTTTAGTAACAACGGGAATTGATCAACAAATGTTTTTCTGCAGCAAAATTTTTACTTTTTCAACAAAAAAATTAATTCCTAAAATTTTTGAATGTTGTAATGGGTGATAGTCGATACTTAAAAGGGAGATTGACCAATAAGTCCCATATTTTGAACTTGTAATTCATAGTCTTATATTTTTTCTTATAATCTATTTAGTTATTTTAGATGTGTAATGACTCATTTGTCTGCTACATTAGAGTGTCACATTTGGAAAAAGTACACTAAAGAGTTTTTTAGTGTTATATTATAACCGCTACGTTAGAGTGTCACATTTGTAAAAAGTACATTAAGCTTCTGTTTGGGAAGAAGGGCTAGGTTGGGTTTGAGGCTATTTTAACCACAAAAAGACAAAATAAGTTTTTTAGTTCAGTAAGACAAAACATCACATCCAACCCATAATCATTACATTCTTTCTTTCACAAAAAGTCAAAAAAATCAAAAAGTCATTCTCAAACAAATACACTAAAATAGCCAAAAAATTAACTCACTTCTCAGACGAACTATAAAGAGTTTTTAATATTTTTTAAAATGTCACATCATACTCGCCACGTTGGAGTGTCACGTGTCGCGTTTGAGAAAAGTACACTAAGGATTTTTTTTTTTTTGAAGTGTTATATCATACTTGCCATATTGTCAAATTTAAAAAAGGTACACTAACGAATTTTTAATTTTTTTGGAGTAAAAATTTTGAAGTGTTACACCATACCATCACGTTATCACATTTCGAAAAAGTACACTAAGAAATTTTTAATTTTTTTGGAGTGTCGCATAATACCTGCCACATTGGAATATTAGATTATACATGTCACATTAATAAAAGGGTATAGTTGTCCGCCAAAACACTACTAAAATAAAAAAATAGAACCACGTGGAAAAACACTCTCCAGTAATAGAATTTAATAGACACTACAACATATAAGAGTTTTAGAGATCAAACTTTTTAGTTTCTAAAAGATATTTATTTTGTTGCAAAAGATATTTAGAGACCAATTTCTATTGTCGTGAGAATAGTCGCTAAAAAGTCATTCCAAAAAATAAAAAATAAAGCTTTTAACGTTAAAATTTTGAAAATATCACTAATAAATATACTTTTAGGAGCAAAATAATTTGGTCTCAAAATAGTTTATTTTTTTAGACAAAAAATTTGATCCCTAAAAGATAATAATTTATCACTAATATCCAATTTTCGTTACTAGAAATATAATGACGACACTTTTTTTAACAAAAATATTTGGTCCCTAAAAAATAATTTTGTTTCTAAATTTTGATCTCTAAAACCTTAATTTTTTGTAGTGAAATCAATAAAAAAAAAATTGAGACTAATTAAAGTAATTGTTTGTGAGATGAGATTTATTGATAAATATCCTTACTTAAAACCCTTGACCTACTTTGGTCAAGTTTCGTCTGGTTTTGACTAAAAAAATTGATTTATTTTTGGCTAAAATATAAGCAATTGAAGAAAAAGTTAAGGGCTCACTTAACTTTCTAAAAAAAAAAAAAAATCTATTTTAGCATTACCAAATGCATTAATTTATTTAGCAACAATTTTATTCTAAAAAAATACTAATAATGTAATTGCCAACCCAGCCATAAGATTTTCTCTCGATAGCAGGTGGTAGGTGGACACTTGAATCACATGCTGCTACAACTACCAACAGAAAAAACTGAAAGTGCTTACCCAAAAGTAAAGAAAAGAAATCAATGGGGCTAGAAATTCACTTGTAAAGAAAATTTGACTGTTCGGTATATATAGTTTTCTTGTAAGTGTTTTTCTCTAAGATTTGTAATGACACAAAAAAATTTCTAGTCTAAAATGGAATCTTGGATTGGATTTTGATATGCTCCCAAAATTAGGATTCATCTACTGTTGATAATCTATTTGTTTTGGCATCTAATGCCAACTTGACGGCATCGGGATAGGATATCAGTCAATATCGGACAATATTATCTTATCAATAAAGCATTTTCTTTGCCGATAAAAAAAAATATATATATCGGATAATATTAATTGATATATTGGTGAATATTGGTATTGAAAATCTAAAATTTTCTCAAGATTTTTAAATTAAAATAAAAAATCATTCTTCTGCTTTAGCTTTGGTAACAATCATCTATTAATAGATAATTCTCTCATGAAACAGTCAGCTAAATGGCCATTGCCATTCTAGACTTACAACTCATTTGGAATTCTTATTTGGTATTTAGAGTCATACTTTGGATGAATATCAGTATTGTAAGTTCAAATTCCTGATACATATTAGCGAATATTTAAAATTTTGGTCGTAGCATATACTTGGAAAACCCGTAAATACAGCCCTTACATTTCTATATCAACATTATATATCACCATATCTCAAAAAATTATAAATTTAAAAATAATTTATTCTCTGACTTAAGCAGTAACTCATTTCTCAGTTAAGCCCTAGCATTGTCTCAAACATTTCCTGCATTTTCTTAAGATTAACTAATAAAACACGGTAGAAAGAAAAAAATAAAAAAATAAAATTCAAACATTAATTATCACAACCTCATTTTAGAATGTCACAATATTATCAATTTACATTACACAACATAGTCATAAAAAGCGACTTGTTCCAATATTATCAGTTTACATTACACAACATATTCATAAAAAGCGACTTGTCCCAATATTATCAACTTATATTACACAACATAGTCATAAAAAGCGACTTATGCCAATTGTAAGGCTTGCCGTTAGTGTCCCGAGTGGCGCTGGAGGATTTGAGTCACAAAAACTGCCTTACTAGTAATAGGAGTAAGGTTGCGTATATCTTATATTCCGCAGGGACACATGCACGGAGCTGACCTTTTTATTACATCTATAGTCATAATTCTAAGTGCAATAACTAGAAATCTTTTACAGTTTACATATAGATCATTGATCAGTAACTAATATACATTTAGTAGGGGTTTAACTTCATTCAGTTCATAGCTAAGGACAGACTGAGATTAAGATTCAAATCAGGCAATTTATCAGATGTTTGATCATTGTTGATATCATGATCAACAAAAGCTGCAGAATCAGAGAATCTACCCCTTGTGTCATGTGGGTTTGAGTTTGGTACAGGTTGTGGTTGATGAGGATGATGGTGAACATTAATGGAGTGCCTGAGGGTATGTTTACGAGGATCAATACCTTTGCTTATTAGCTTTTTCCTTATATGAGAATTCCAGTAGTTTTTCACCTCATTGTCAGTCCGTCCGGGCAATCTTCCAGCTATCAGAGACCACCTAGTTAACCACATCATCATTTTCATTCATCAATATATATATATATATGTATGTAATTATATCTAAACAAATTGCACTCACAACATGAAACTTGTTAAAGGGTTGTTCTTCTCTTCAGTTGATGATCTAACTAGACAGATGTTGTTAGATTGATGTAATTTATCATACTTTGTATATTTTCATCAATAAAGATTTTCTTTGCCGATAAAAAAAGTTGGGTTTAGTGAGTTCATTTTGAGATTCACTATAGATTTGTAGGGTCTACATGAAAAGTATCTATGCAAAAAGATTAAATTAATTGAACATCAATAGTCAAATAATTGAATTATATTTGTTTTAGAAAAATATTTTTTTAGTTTCCAAATCATATTTGTTTAATTCTATATATAAGACAATTATGATCTGATCATGTGGTTGAGGTTTGATCAATCTTATTTTTTACATGAATTTTTTTGTGGCCCTATAAAGCTGATTGGATCACCAAATAGACCCTGCAGTAAACCCAATGAACCCAAGAATATTTCTGCAATTGGATCATGCTGGAGAGAAATCATCTCCAATTTCAAATTACTTCTAAATATTGATATTGATTGCAACTTAAAGTTGTCAAAGTATCCAACCATATGTATCAAGAATTAAGCTTGATTAAGGAAAAATCATCTCTTGTAAAAATTAGCTTTATATGTTGTCAAACCACTCGCATTAGTTGTGAATCGTGTGCTTTTCATTTTAAATTGTACGTCAGTCTATATCAATATTGGAAGAATAAAATTCAAAACATGTGTTTGCTTCGGTAAAAAAAAATTTTGGAGAAAGAGTTTAGAATTTTTTTTAATTTGTTTGGTTTTATATTTTAAAAATAGTATTGGAGTGTAGGAGTTTAGGATGATTTGATATTTTATTGTACTTGAATAGACGTGTATAAGAAAAAAAAATGATTAAAAAAAAAAGGAGAGAAAAAGAGTAATTGATTGATGTGTAGAAAATAAAAAGTGATTTTGAAAATTTTTTTTTCAAAATTATTAAACTAAACAAAATTTTTAAAAAATTTCTCTAAAATTTATTTGTCGAAAACAAACCAAAGCCTACAAGGTATGTACTGACTACCTACAGACAGAAAAGTAAAGATAAGTATTAAAATGCGGGGAAGAAAAAGAATAAGTAGCATAAAAATTGCATTGAAATTGGGTGATGTGACGATGATAGATGATTAGGTTACCGGTTTCCTAAGAGAGCATGGAGCTTGATGATGAGGTCTTCTTCATCTTCACCAAAGTTGCCTCGTTTTATGTCTGGCCTTAGATAGTTTATCCATCTCAGTCTACAACTTTTCCCACAGCGAAGCAAACCTGTTCAATTTGCAAAAACAAATTTATTTATTATTTAGAAAAAATATAAATATATATATATATATAAATTAAAAATAAAAATAAAAAAAGATGTGAAGAAAGATTAACTCTATATATATAGTACTCTATGCTGGTTTCAAAAAGGAGAAAAAAAATAAAAAATCATAAGAATAAGAATAAGATTAAGGTAAGCATCTCTCTATTTTTGGATTAGGTTATTACCTGCAGCTTTTGGGAGCGAACGCCAGTTACCCTCGCCATGGATTTGGATGTAATGAATGAGCTTCTGGTCTTCTTGCTTCGACCATGCTCCTTTGTTTGTATCTTTTTTATCACAACAAGGTTTTCTCATCGCTGCAAAAGATAGTTAGATAGATATGGGGAGAGAGAGAGAGAGAGATGAGAACCAAAAATATATAGCAGATCACTAGTGAGTGATGCCCTCTCTCTCTCTGTCAAAAAAATAGAGAGGTTCCACATTTGACTTTTGGACTGGTGGTTTTCGTTGGTCAGTGTTGCGGTGGGGGTGACGATGGACATGACTAACTAATCGTAGGAGAGGGTAGGTAAGTGAGGTATTGTATTAAGTGATTAAGAAATATAAAAAAAAAAGTGATAAATGATGATTGGTAAATAAATACAATCACATAATAATTCTAAAATATGATAAATGATTATTGTGTTAGGTGAACGACATTTATCTCTTTTTGTGAGAGAGAAAAATGGGTTATAATCTGGAAAGTGGATTATAACCCACTTTCTAAAAGATCCCTATATAATTTTCTCTAATATAAGATTAATTGCTATATTTGTGGGGGTGTTTTTATTTTTATTTTATTTTATTATATTAGAAAGTTAAGCACATATGCCACGCCATGCATGTACATAAAAAGGAAATTTAAATAAAGGATTGAATTTCTCTCAGTTTAAATCTGGATTAGATAATGTTGTTTAGACTTATGAGGGCTATTATTTGTTATGTTTTGATAATTTAAATAATTCATTGTGCAGGATATGTCATGTATATTATTTATGAAAAAAATTAAATTTATTCGATAATTGTAATTTCTTTATTTTATTATGTTTGCCACAAAAAAAAAATAGATGATCTATTTTAAAAAATACATTTGTCATTTATTTATTTATTTTGGATAAACGTAATAAATTGAAGAGGGAATTTCAAAGCAATGTGTAAATTGAAAAATAATTACAAATTGGTGGTAAACTTTATCAATATTAATAAAATCATAAACTTTTCCACATATACATAATAATTTTTTGCAATTACCAAATGTAAGTAATTTTTCCTAAATTAAATATGTTATAATCATTGGATCGATCTATTTTTTTTTTTTAACGATACACAAAATGTCTTATAAAATGAATTATTTAAATTATCGAAATGAAACTCACAGTGAACCCATGAACTTGGACAACAATCTGTTTTTTGAATAAAAGGCTGCTATAACTATTATTTTTAATAATAATATTTGGGAGTTCTAATTTGATAGTTCTAATAAAGCTCTAATGGTGAGGTGATGTTTTGGCTTTTTTTTTTTTTTTTTATTTATTTATTTATTTTTTTTGTGGCCAAAACAATAATGCTCATTCTCTATCACCATCCTAAATCTAAATATATATATATATACATATATTAAATGTAGATGGAAGGAAAAAAATTGGAAAAAAACCTTGGACAGTTATGTAATATCGACAGTTATGTAATAGCAAGGATAATTTGCTCAGGAAAATGTCTCACGTAATTTCATGAGTGAGTTGTGTGCGAGTTATAAAGGCCTATTTTAGGGGTTAGGTTAAAAATTATTTTTTTTATTTTTTTTAAGAATGTAAAAAAAAGAAAAAAAAAAGAAAAGAAAAAATGATGTGACTCAATAAAATAAAAAATTAAAAATTTAATTTTTAATCAATTTTCCGAATAGACCCTAATAAAATAGAGATTAGGTTAAGACTTCCTTACCGTCCTTGTAAATGGATTGAAAAGTACAATTTGCTTTCTGTAAACCACCCACCCAATAATTAAAAGAAATTCTGTAAACCACCTACCCACCCAATAATTAAAATAGTTTATTTTATAAATTCCATTTAATGTATTATTTATATAAAAAAATTAAATTGATTAGATATTTTTGCCAATAATATTGTTCCATCAACTTAATTTTTGTATAAATAATTTATTCAATAAATTTTATAAAATAAATAATTCAAATTAAACGTAAACTGTACCATCTAATCCATTACTAAGATCTACCTGAGGTATTGCCAAGGAAAAATTATTGGTTAAGTCAAGAATATCATGCAATTATAGTTCTGTTGAATTATAAATTTTTTTATCTATTTATATTCTCTAATTATTCAATATAAAATTATGAATTAGCCAATCAGAAGATACGTAAGACACCACTTGGTAGTATCAGAACGAACTTCTCATCGCCAAGATGGTATTTCGCTCTCATTGACTCAACAGTGATAAAAGTTGTACTTTCAAACTTTATTATTTTATAAAATGTTAGTATTTTATCAATTTCTATGCCACTGTTATGATTTGACATGAAAAATGAATATATTATTTTAAATAAATTTAAAAGAAAATTCAAATTTTAATTTTAGCCACTTGAGTTATTGTAATGAGTGCATTCATGAGGGAATTGTCATTAGAAAAATGATCTGTAGCTTGAGAATTGGTGGCTTGAATTTGGCTCGAAGCTCAAAATGATGTCGTTGTGGGCTTCGATTTTTTTTTCCTTCTCCTTTTCTTGCTTTTCGAATAGAGAGACAGAAAAGAGAGAGAGAGAGGAGAAAAGAGCAAGAGAGGAGGAGAAGAAAAAAAGAGGAAGAGAGAAGGCGAGAGAGAGAGAGAGGAGAGAAGAGGAAGAGAGAAGGGGGCGGTCGGTGATCGCCAGTGATGGCGGTGATGGCGGTCGATGATGTCCCTTTTCCAGTAGATCTGGATTTGATGAAGATGGTGAAGATGATGATGATGTTGAAGATGATGAAGACGATGATGATGTTCAAAATCTAGATTGTTAATGAAGGGGAAAAAAAAAATTTGTTGATGAAGATGTTGATCTGGATTGAAGATGAAGGAAAAAAAAAAAATTGTTGATGAAGAGCCAAGGAAAAATTATTGGTTAAGTCAAGAATATCATGCAATTATAGTTCTGTTGAATTATAAATTTTTTTACCTATTTATATTCTCTAATTATTCGATACAAAATTATGAATTAGCCAATCAGAAGATACGTAAGACACCACTTGGTAGCATCAGAACGAACTTCTCATCGCCAAGATGGTATTTCGCTCTCATTGACTCAACAGTGATAAAAGTTGTACTTTCAAACTTTATTATTTTATAAAATTTTAGTATTTTATCAATTTCTATGCCACTGTTATGATTTGACATGAAAAATGAATATATTATTTTAAATAAATTTAAAAGAAAATTCAAATTTTAATTTTAGCCACTTGAGTTATTGTAATGAGTGCATTCATGAGTGAGTGCATTCATGAGGGAATTGTCATTAGAAAAATGATCTGTAGCTTAAAATTTGGTAGCTTGAATTTGGCTCGAAGTTTAAAATGACGTCGTTGTGGGCTTCGATTTTTTTTTTCCTTCTCCTTTTCTTGCTTTTCGAATAGAGAGACAGAAAAGAGAGAGAGAGGAGAAAAGAGCAAGAGAGGAGGAGAAGAAAAAAAGAGGAAGAGAGAAGGCGAGAGAGAGAGAGAGAGAGAGGAGAGAAGAGGAAGAGAGAAGGGGGCGGTCGGTGATCGCCAGTGATGGCGGTGATGGCAGTCGATGATGTCCCCTTTCCAGTAGATCTGGATTTGATGAAGATGGTGAAGATGATGATGATGTTGAAGATGATGAAGACGATGATGATGTTCAAAATCTAGATTGTTAATGAAGGGGAAAAAAAAAATTTGTTGATGAAGATGTTGATCTGGATTGAAGATGAAGGAAAAAAAAAAAATTGTTGATGAAGATGTTGATGTCGGTGATCCCCTTTCCAGTAGATCTGGATTTAATGAAGATAATGAAGATGATGATGATGATGTGGGTATCACCGATCTCTCTTTTTTTTTCTTTTCTTTTTTTTGTTGTAAGTTGATGAAGATGTACTGCAGTCCCTACAATTTTTTTGATAAGAATTGCTACAAGATCTCTCCTTTTTTTTTTTTCCTAAGTAGATCAGGATCAGAAAAAAAATAAAAATTATTGATGATGATAATGTGTTGATGATTGTTGATGTTGATGAAACTGTCCAGAACCTGTCCAGCTCCAGCTCCAGCTCCAACTTCCTCTTCTTCTCCTTCTTCACTTTCATCTTTTGCATCTTCAGGAAAAAATGAGAAAGAGAAAGAAAAGAAAAAAAAAAAATCAAAACGTCTTCATTTTTCGACTCGGGCCATTCGAGCCCCATAAGTCTCGAGCTACAAATCGGGATTATTATTATTATGAGTGCATTCATCCCATGAGGGAAGAAATTTTTATAATTTATGATTCGTGAGATTTAACCTACAAATTATGAATATGGAATATGGCTATGTTTGGTTCTATTTTTCTAAAAACTGTTTTCAAAAAATTCTACTTTCTTATTTTTCTTATTTTTTTGTTTTTACTGAATTTTTTAAATATTTTATGCAATTTTTTTACTTTTTAGACACATCTAACATAAATACACCTAAAAAGTAAAAAAAATTGTAAAAAAAACATTTTAAAAATTCACTAAATACCAAAAATACAAAAAAATACAAGAATTCAGTACATTTTTTGTATTTTTATGTATTTTTTAATTTTTTAAAATATTTTTTCACTTTTTTTTTTTTACTTTTTAGATACATCTAAGTAAGGTACATCTAAAAAGGTAAAAAAAATGTTTAAAATTTTAAAAATATTCACTAAAAACAAAAAAATACAAGAACCAAAAAACTCAGTTTTCAAAAAACTTAATCCAGAAAACTCAAACCAAACACACTGTAATTTTTTTTAGGTTTAACGAAATTACTAAAATGACACTGACCACTCATGTTAGACATATTAAGGTTGTCAACAAAATTTAAATTTTAATTAATTTACCCTCACATTAAAGGAAATGATAAAAATAACGCCGATCGTTCTTCAAATTTAATGAGATTTGTACAATATAAAAATAGAGGACAATTACCAAAAAAAAAAATCTCTCGATTTGAGCCTTTTAATAAAATAAGTTCTAAATATTTTATTTTGTCAATTTAAATTTTAATATTTAATTTTTTTTCAATCTAAACCATTAATCTATTTTTTTTAAATATAATTGACATAAAAGAATATTTTAGCTATTAAACTCAATGTAAATATACATAAAGTATCTAAAATACCATTTTTTTATTAAGTTTAATGACTAGAAAAGTTCTACTACGTCAACCGAATAATCTCCCCCCTTTC